GCGGGAGTACAGAGCTAGGGGACCCTAGACCCCCACAAGGAAGCTGGCTTTGCTGCCCCAGCTGAGCGCCAGGCTTGACACCCCTGAGCAGGGTGGAGGGGAAGAGAGGTCGGTGCTGGGGCTCAGGACTTTGGGAACCCCGTTCTGAGCTCCGAGTGCGAGGCCCTTCCACCCCCGCTGCAGTCTTAGCTGCGTGTGGGCTGGGGGCGAGGGGGAGCTGGTGCGCTGTGCGTCTTCCCGAGCAGCCCGCTGGTGCCCGCTGCAGGCTTTGCTGGTGCGTTAATATACTAATTGCCAAGATTTACAAATTGAGAGCGTTCATGTAAAATTCCAGGCTGCAGGCTCTTTTCTTTCTTTTTTAATCTGAAGTTATGGACCAGGCTGGGCCTCGCATGCCGCGGGGGTCCCCGGGAGCTGGGGGCCTGCACCCCGTCCTGGTCCCTGCGGTCCCACGCGCCAGCTGCTTGGCCTCGGCGTCCACCTGCGTCTCCCAAAGGCCTGCTTGTCAGGGCGGGTAAGTCAGCCCTCGGGAGGGTCTCGCCTTGTCCTGGTACCTAGCCTGCTGCGTGGTGCCAGGCCCACCAGGCGTCATGAAGGAGTGAGGGGGCAGGTGGGGGCGGCAGGCTGCAAGCCAGCTTCTCTCTGAGCTCATTCAGTTTCTCAGTTTCTCTCGCTCGCTCTCTCTGCCTCACCCCCCAAGGCAGCTTCCCTGCAGCCAGATTTTGCTCTTTCAGCCATTCCCACTCTCCACCATATGGGTCCCAGAGACTCCCAGAACCCCCAGCTCTGCCAGGAAGGGAGCCTGGGGCTGGCGATGCATGCAAGCCTGGGGCTGCCACTCCTGCCCAGGCCCTGCTTTGCCCCTTGCGGGCCAATGGCCAGCACAATGGTGGAGCCCGGGTCCGCTGACAAGGAGGACATGCCTACCCATGGCGGCGGCTGGCACACCAGGGCAGTGACCGGGAAAGGGCAGGCAGTGGTCAGCGAACATCTGGCCTACTGGTCTCTGTGACCCTGGACTCACTGACGCTCCCTGTGTCTAAGTCACCACCTCTAAAATGGGCATGACCATGAGCCTCAGGGTGTCGGAGGCTGGGGTACGTGTGGGCGGGCACAGCACCGGGCTCATATAAATGCCCCCGGCAAAGGTTAACTTGTGCAGGCAAAGATGACCTTGGCGCCTGGTGGGGGGGTTCCGTGGAAAGCACCCCCTCCCCATCCCGTGGCTGCCAGTCTCACAGACAGCCGGTGACGGGCTGGGGTATTTGCTGACTCGGTTGGCAGGCGCTGAAACAAGAACGTGGGGGTTGGGGGGAGGCCCGGGAGGAGCACTGCGCTGCTCATCTGGAGGCAGCTGGAGTGACAGGCAGGGGTGGGGACAGGAAGTGTGCAGCCGATGCTCCCCACCCCCACAACCTGACTCCTTTGCTACTGCACCAGAGGGGCAACTTCTGCCCGCCAGAAAAGACATACATCTGTTCACGTAAACAAAAACCCAAATCCGCCTGCCCACCACCCAGAATAGTGTGGCCTCTGGCAGGAGAGAGGGGAATTCACAGTCCCCCGAGCGCCTCTGTGCCGGCTGACATGGCATCTCCCACCCCTCTCCTACCCTGGGGGTAAGGGGAACCGCGCCCCCATCTCACAGATAGAGAAATCTGAGGCTCAGAGAGGGTGAGTTGGTTACCTGAGGTCACACAGCCAGGGCCAGAGGAGGCAGGACTCATACCCAGAGTTTTCCCCTCCAGCGCCCAATTTGGCCCAAGCCACTTTGCCAGTACGGAGACTCCAGAGTGGGCAAGGAGGACCCAAGGGCAGCCCAGCTCACAGGATGCTAAAATCAGCCAGACAGGCGCTTCTGTTCCAGAGGACCAGATACTATAGGACAAAGTCCCGCCCTCCCCACCTCTCCCGCGGCCCTCACCCCGAGGCCACACAACCTTGGCTGGGCTTGGAGGCGGTGCTGGCGAGCAGATGACACAAGCAGCCCACAGAACAGATCACTGAGCGCCAGCTCACTGAGACACTCAAGATTCTAGAAGTTTCTACATACAAGGGGCCAAAGAGACTTGGTTCGGCCTCAGGAGAGCCCCATGTGCCGCTCGGACTTGGCAAGCTGCAATGGGAAACCTTCACCCTCCCAGTCCCTAGCTGGAAGATACGAGCATGTGGGGTGCAGACAGGCCATCCCTGGGGGGTGGGGGGACAGCTGAGTGCAGCGTTATCATCACAATAACACTGCCATTGGCTGTCTTCACCAGCAGCCAGTGATGGCCTCTGGAGGCTCCATGGCACTGTCGTCACTTTGATGGCTCATGGTACGTATGTTTGTGTCGTCTATATTCTAGAATTTGCTAAAGCAAGACAGTGAAAAGATGATCATTAGTCATCACAGATACGCAAGTCAAAACCACAGAGATCCTGCTTTGCACCTACTGGGGAGGCTAAACTCAAGACGACAGATACAAGTGCTGACGAGGATGTGGTCATTGGAATCCTCGTGCACTGCTGGCGGGACTGGGAAAGAAGGTGCAGCCGCCACGTAAAAGTGCCTGACAGTTCATCTACTGATGAAACACAGAGTTACCCTACGAGCCAGTAACCCTACTCCTCAGTGTATTTTCAAGAGAAATGAAAATATACATCTGAGCAAAACTGTGTGTGCAGATGGAGATGCTGCCCAGCTGTCCAGTCTCCCGGCAGTGCCCAGAGCACGAGGAAGGTCAGCCCGGCTAAGCTAAGAATGTACATTTGACTGACAATATTTTCAACTCAGAGGGATGCAAACCCATTGTTAGGTCAAGGGAGATCCTATATATCAGCAAACAGGCCCACGCTAGGATTCCTGGACCCACCACTCTGCACGTGTTCCCGTGGGCAAGATGCCCGCTTGCGCTGCTGTGAAGTACGCGGAGGTCGGGCAGACCGCAGGCGTTGGCCATGAGCGCTTACTGGGGCGCCCGGCGTGAGTCACTGTGCAGTGTCTTCTGTTAACATAATTTGAATTCTAAAGTTTGTCTGCTGACCAGAATGTCAAAGCAGCAAGAGACCCCCGCCCTGCAGAATCTGGTTACTGGAGGTCCTGAGGAAGGGGCCCCCTTCCTGGCCTGCTCCTGGGGCCCACGGAGGTTATGCGGGAGCCATTTCCAAGAGGGGAGCCGCCTCTAGCTGCTCCAGGAAACTCGTAGTCCTTGAGGGCCGCCCTATAACCAAGGGTGCCCTTCCTTGCGGCCCCGGAGGACAGCAGGGGGTGAGCCTGGCTCCCTCCATCATGTCAATCCAGCGGTAGAAGTCGCCCTCAAAAAGCCCCCTGCCCCCCAGTGACAACAGACGTCAGACCCTTCTCCCTGGCCAGGGAGCTAGGCATGTGGCTTCCATTAGGCCACATCTGGACCTGCTCAGAGGCAGCCTGGATCCCTGGCACGGCTCTGCTCCAAGACAGGACCCCCCCAACTCCCCAACCCCACCCCAGCCCGGCCTGGGGCAATGGCTGGAAACCTCCTACTTTAGGCCCCAGGGGCTGCCATGGCAACAAGACTGGGGGGGGGTCATTTCCTATCCCCCTGGCCCATCTCTCAGCAGGAAACCCCATTCCCAAGGTGGAGCAAGCGAAGATACCTCCCCAGCTGCTCCCCACCAAAGGCCCTTCCATTAGTGGGGGCTCCCAGTTGTCCCCCCACAATGGCAGCCAGAGGCCCCCACTTCCCAGTGGGGGCAGCCGCCCCTCCCCGCCAGGCGTCCCCCCGCCCGGCCCCATCACGAGGCTGTTTCTCCAGGAGTAAACCCGCACGCGCTCAGCGGCTGAAGGCCGAGAGGAGAGGCTGCGCCTGCCGTGCCGGCCGCTCAGCCCTGGCACGGAGCAGGTGTTCCGGCAACATCTGCAAGTAAGGGGCGGACTGAGAACGGGCGGTGAGTCATCATGGCCCACTTCTCCAGCACTCAGTGAGTGCTGCGCTGTGCACCAGCGCCGGGCGTGAACTGACTCGCGAAATGCTCACAACAGCCCTTCTCTGTCACTTACAGATGGAGAAACTGAGGCACAGACGGTAAGCCCCCGGGAGTAGTGGAGCCCAAGCATGTCGATGGCCAGGGAATAAAAGCAGGAAAGCAGGCGGCGGAGGGGAGAGGGGCGTGGCAGGCCCGCCCTTGGTGACCCGGCCAAGGTCCCACTGGCATTCACTCACCTCCTCCTCCTAACTTCCGGAACCTTCCTTTCCTGTACACCAGTGCTGCAGCAGCCTGGCCATACCCTACTTACCCTCATCGCCAGGCCTGAAGGTGCCGGACCCCTGCCAGGACAGCCCCCAGATGGGCTAAGGGCATGTCATCAGGGGCCCCACCACCAGGCAGCCTTCCTCGGATGGCCAAGGCGCAGAACCACAGAGAAGCCTCGGGCAGTAGGAGGCAGGGTGGGGGCGGGGCTGCACCACTGGGGACCCTTGAGGCCGCAGCCCAGACTCTGTCTGCTCCCCACCTCCTGCGACTCAGGGCTGGGCGAGCAGGAGCCCTGAAGCCAGCCCACCACCCTGGTCCAGCCACCACCTCGCTGGAACCACCTGCCACACCTGGCCAGCTGAAGCTGAGGAGCCCACCTCCCTGACGGCGGGGTAGGAGATGCCCAGGGACGGTGAGTTCACCCCACCACCCACCTGGGGCAAGCTGGACGCAGAGCCCGCGCTGGGCTGGGGCTTCGGCTGGAAGGAGGCTGTGCGTCACCCCGCTCCACACATGCACACGCTCTGCATGGTCAGGGCCCAGCGACAGCCCTTGCCAGGCGGGGAAGGGGCCCTGGGCAGTGAGAAGACTTGTCCCGAAGTGTTCTTCCCCAGGAAGTCTTCCTGGACACCCCCTGGGGCGCCCTCCGTCCCTGGCCTGTGAGCCAGGACCCTGCTGGCCCACTCCTAGGCAGGAGTGCCAGGGGCCCAGCAGGACCCACTCACGGTTGACACCTGACGGTTTGTAGAGTCGTGATAAGAAAATTGAGCCCAGAAGAGTCTTACCTTCAGGGTCACCTCTGGGGACAGAGTGGACAGAGTTGGGGTCTGTGTCATCCTCTGGTTCAAAGCGGGACAGATCAGGCAGCTGCTTGGGTACTTCCTGGGTGGGTGGGGCCCGGGATGCCTCACGGGGAGGTGTGGCCAGGCTGGTGTGGGTGCTGGGCTTCGTTGGGTCCGCAGGTGGGCTCGGCGGGGCCTGTGACGGGAGGACACTGGGCGCCGCTCCCCCCTGCCTCGCGCTTCGGGGGGTGGCCTGGGCATCGGGGATGAGATTCTCCTCCGGCCCTTCCCTGGCCTCTGCCTCCTCCTCTCGCGCGGGGAGACCAGGCCCCCCTAGCCCGGCGGTGGGTACTGTGTCCAGGCCCCTGTGATCAGCTACCGTCTGCAGCGTGACTGTCATTTCGCTCCTGTCCTCCGCCCCTTCCTCCGGGCTGTCCTCTGTCACTCTCCTGGCTTTGGCCTGCACAGGGGCTGGGGGACCCAGGGCAGCAGCTGCCGTGGGCCTGGGGAGCGTGGCCAGCCAGGGAGTGGCTTGGATGGCAGAAGGTGCGTGGCTCCCACCTCCTAGGGCAGCCGGGCCCCCTGCCCCTGCCTGGAGCTCCCCTGCCAGGGCGGCTGCCACCTCTGCCTCAGCCACCTCCTGGTCATAACTGTAGGGGTCTTCATAGTGTCGCTCGGGGTCCCCCTCCTCAGTGTCTGAGAAGTTCCCAGCGGCGGCAGCCGGCACGGTCTCGAGGTCCCCATCACACCCCGGAAGCTGGTAACAGATGAGCTCGCCACCCGCATCCGGGCAGTGGCAGGCCTGGCAGGGCGGCAGGTGGACGGTGTGGCCGGCGGGGTACTTGCGGCCAGTGTGGACACAGCCCACCTGGCCGCACTGCGGACAGCTGTCGGCCACCACCACGGCCTCGATGCAGTTAGGGGGCAGCTCGGGGCACAGCATGAACTGGCAGCTGATCTTGCCGCCGCCCGGCGGGCAGGAGCACTCGGTGCTGCCGAAGTCCACAAAGTAGGACTGGCCGGCGGGCACGCGGCCGCGCACGAAGCCGCCCTGCAGGCAGTCGTAGTACTGGTAGCCCTCACAGGCACAGCCCTGCTGCACGCACGTGGCACAGCAGGCTCCGGGCTCCAGCGCCTCCTCGATGCAGTTCTCCAGCGGGGGACACTCCACGCCCGTGCAGTCCTGCGGCCGGGCCGCCACCCGGGCGCTGGAGCCGAGCGCCAGGGCCAGGGCCAGGGCCAGCCAGGCTCCAGGAGGCTCCATGAGCAGCGCCATGGTCTTGCAGCCAGCCAGGTGCTGCCTCGAGCCACGAACGGTCCCCTGTCCGCGAGTCCTGGGGGAAGCGGAAAGGTCACCCGTCAGCCCTGCACGCGGGGAACATGTGGATCCCGCACCCCGGAGCAGGCACGCAGCCAGCTCCACCCGTCACGGCCACCCGGCCAGCGCCACACGCGTGGACTGGACCTGAAGCCCCCAGCACACGCCCCCAGGCGCACGGTCTGCAGCACGGAGCGAGGGCCGTGTCACCCAGGGGCCCCCCCGGGGCTTCTGGCCCCCCACGTGCCTCTGACAGACTCGTCCACAGTCGCACTCACATGCCTGCCCTCTCGGCCACACTCACACCCTGGGGACAGCTGTCCACGGTCACTCACAGGCCCCAGCCCAGGCCTCACGTGGCGGCTCACGCTATTCACCGCGTGTCCCACACGCAGTCTCACGGGGTGTCCGAGGGCACCGGGCCTCCGGGAAAGGCAAGTGCCCACCTGTCCCAGACCACACGAACACCAGTGTCCACCCCTCCCGGTCGCAGCGCTGGGCGAGTCCTTTCTGAACCCTGCCCCCCGCGCCCCTTCAGCCCAGAGGCCAGCTGAAAACACGGATGTGGCCAGCTGGTGCCGCGCTCCTGAGATGGCCACGTGGTCGGGCCGCTGGCCACTGCGTGGGGGCTGGGGGGTGCTGGGAAGCCAGAGCCGCTGGGACCAGTTCAAAGTGGATCAAGAGGAACAGTGGCTCCAGAAGACAGCCCTGCCATAGGTGTGACCCCAACACCGGAGCTAACGGGGGTCCCAGGACAGACGGAGACCGAGAGCCCAGCAGAGTCCAGAGCAGCCGACGACTGCGAGGCGGCGTCTGGCAGGGGCTGCGTGCTTCGCCCTTGGGAGAGCTCCGCCTCGCTGCATGCAAGCCCCAGGCAGAGGCGAGGGGCGC